TCAAGCAGAAGCCTCTTCAGTAGCTGTGTTGTTTCACATGTAAGATAGAATAAGATCTGTATTTCTGGGACTGTCACTATTAATGCTTTCATTAATATCAAAATTTGAATTAAATGAATGCATAGAAATGAGACTGTAGAGCACCTAGAACAGTAGAAAAGTACTTACATGCTAACTATCGTCATTACTAATTGAAGGATAACCTGGTATCCAATATTTTCCTTCTTTTTTTTTTTTAAGATTTTATTTATTGGGGCGCCTGGGTGACTCAGTCGTTGAGTGTCTGCCTTCGGCTCAGGTCATGATCCCAGGGTCCTGGGATCGAGCCCTGCATCGGGCTCCCTGCTCTGCGGGAAGCCTGCTTCTCCCTCTCCCACTCCCCCTGCTTGTGTTCCCTCTCTCGCTGTGTCTTGCTCTGTCAAATACATAAATAAAATATTTAAAAAAAAAAAAAGATTTTATTTATTTACTTGGCAGAGAAAGAAACAGCCAGAGAGGGAACACAAGCAGGGGGAGTGGGAGAGGGAGAAGCAGGCTTCCCGCGGAGCAGGGAGCCCGATGCCGGGGCTCGATCCCAGGACCCTGGGATCATGACCTGAGCCGAAGGCAGACACTCAACGACTGAGCCACCCAGGCGCCCCTCCAATATTTTCCTTCTAACTTATGCATGACTTTACAAAAATCACGTCCAGGTAGAAGGACCCATTTAAAGGCCAAGACAGACTAATGGATTTTTAACGTAAAAGAGTCCAAAAAGATCATAGATAAGGTTTTAGATTCACATTGTGTAAAAACCTTTAAGAAATGACCACTTTGTTGAGTTTTGGGGTAGTATCAAAAATAATATCCATAATTGCCAAAAAGACTTAAAATATTCTTCCCATTTCCAATTATTATCTTTGTGAGACCAGGTTTTCTTCATATACTCTAACTGAAATAACATATTGCTGGGCATGTGGGTGGCTCAGTAGGTTAAGTGTCCGACTCTTGATTTCGGCTCAGGTCATCATCTCAGGGTTGTGGGATCAAGCCTCACGTCAAACTCTGCGTTCAGTGAGGAATCTGCTTGAGATTCTCTCTCCCCTCCCAACCTTCTTCCCCTCCACCTGTTTGCAGTGTTTCTGTCTGCCTCTCAAATAAATGAATAAAATCTTAATTAAAAAAAATAACTTATTGTAACAGATTGAATGTAGAAGCAGATATGAGAATCTGGCTGTCTTCTGTTAAGTCGTGGATTAGATTTGCAGAAATGCAAAACAGTGCCTCTGTTTTCATTAAGTTTTTTTCTGGTTTAAATACAGTTATTTTTTATAAAAATAAATGATACATGTTCATATGTAATAGCCTTAACTGCTATTTAAAAAATTTTTTTTGAAATTTCTCAAAAACCTAACTTCCTTAGAATGCTCAGTAATTTAAAGACCGTAAAGAATTTCTGAGACCAAAAGTTTGGAAATTGCTGTGTTAAGTAAAAGGAAATACGTACTGGTCAGCATGTGATTATTAAGAGTGTTTTCTACAGGCTGTTGATACTCCTTTTAAATAATAATTGCTGGTGATTTTTGTCAAGTTTTACAACTTGGTAATCTAGAAGTATTCTTGCCACTAAGGAACTTTAAATTTGTCCTGAATGCATAAAAATGCCAGGCGGGGAGCGTATTAGATTTTGGGGACACACAAGATGGGTATCCGTTCTTGTACTCTAGAAGCCTGTAGTCCGTCCCATAGTGGATGGGGTGGTAGGAAATGTCCAAATGAGTCTTGGCAGAGTGTCATTCTCTGATAGGGCGCTTTGGACCACGAGAGGAGCTTGCAGGAAGAAGGGGGCAGTGAGGCAGCAGGGGATGAACATGTAGTTTAATGTAGAGTTTGGATGCTGTCAGAAGAGGGAGGGGAGATGGTGATTGTTTGGTGGATCGCAGATGTGGCTGGGTACTGGCTATTTCCCACAAAGCTTACTTCTTGTCGCTCATCTTCATTTCATATGCTGACAGTTTTTCTGTCAGATGCATCCAGTTCTCTCTAACGGGGCATGTTGCTATCTTTATCTTGGACCTAAAAAAAACATTTCCACCATTATATATATTCTATATCCAGGAGTTCCTGGAAATGGTAGGCCAGTGCCATTGTCTGCTTGCCTTGGATCCTAATCCTCCTCCAAAATAATTTTGTTGTATTTCTTGCTATAAGAAACCCTACTATTTAAAAGTTGCATATGATTAAGAAATAATTTTGTTATAATATTGATTTTTAAATTTTCAAAGGTTATTTTATTTTGGGCTTTTAAAACTACTAACCTTGTTAGTACCCATCATTGATAGAAACAAAAATGAGAGAAACAGTTTCCAATTTAGGCTCTTAAGATCCTCAGTACACTTGTTTGTCTCACTTGTATAGTTATTAACCTATTTTATGCAAACCAGTGGGATCTAAGATATTTGGTGTTTGTTTTATTATTGTGGCACATTTTTGAGCTAAATATGATAATACTGGCTTATGAAGATATTAAAAGAAGAAACAAAAAATAAACCACACAAAAAATAAAAAAGGAAAAAGACTAAAATAAAAACAGACCAGGAATGTTTGTTCTAGAATTATCAAGGACTTAGCAGTGCGTGTGTAGCAGTGAAGGGGAAATGCTTTCATAGGCATCCACTTGAGAACCTTAGCATAGTATAGACCTTCTAGAAGAACCTGGAAGTTGAGCTGTGGGCACAAGTTACTGGATGGGCTGCAGCTGAAACCTTCTCAGATGACACATTTTGGCTAGACCTGCTTGTAGGCAGGCAAGCGTTTGGAAACTATTTAGAGATACAGGGGAGAGCTTTTGGCAGCTAGTTTTGCTCATAGCTAGTTATGAAACAGAAAGGAACAAGTTGGAAGGGAAATGGTCAGTAACACTGACTGCTTGTTTTTCTTAAAGTACTCATGATTAAAATAGCCTCCTGGCCTGTTTTGATTCCTCTCAGACCTCCTAAAACAGCATGTCGTTCCTACATGAACCTACTAGAACACTCCATCTTTTGGCTTGTTTTTCAACATGCCATTCCCCTAGTGGGGAAATGAAGGTGCTTTGTACATTAAGGACTGTACTTATGCAACCTTTTCTCCCACCGTGTCCCATCCCACCTCTGCAGGGTTTTATTCCTCCCTTGGGAAGTCCTGTTTTGCCCTGCTGATGGGCTCCCCTTCAGAGGTTTCTTTGGAAATTAACCACTGCATGCACTGTTGTCTCCCTGTGAAGCCTGCCTAATTTTGATCGTTTCCCTTGGCATTTTTGTATTCTGTTTCTCCTGAGATGTTTTGTGCTTTCCAGTGTAGTGATTGGAACTGTTCTGGTGTTTTGGGGATGGATGATACTTCCCTGGGTAGTTGGAGTGTAAGCTCTTTAAGAACTGGGCCACATCTTTCCTTTCCGAGTCTTCTCCCTTCCTTTGTTATATCTACTGCCCACTTTCTCCAAATAAGACTCTTCCTGAGAGAAACCGTTGGGTCAAAAGAAAAAAGTATTAGACCTGAAGGAAATAATCATTTTCCAGAATTCATTTTCACAACTTCACACATAACGTTAGGGTTATCAACTCTGTGGAGGACAAACACGAGACCGTGTGGCATCTCCGGTGCTTTGCTGCTTTGTTATACTCCGCAGCACAGTGAAGTCTACCAGTCACAATCGGCAGCTCTCACCGTGTAAAAGCCCTCTCTCCCCAGCACTGCTGGAGATTCAGAGGTGGCTGTGCAACACAGCAGACTTGTCCCTGGACTGGAAAGGGTGGCCTGAGATCGCCCACAGTTAGTCACGACTCAGAGTTGAGATAACCAGGAGTTGGGAACGAAGCCCCGGGAGGGCAGGGACTGTACTTCTTTGTCCGTCACCATATACCTTGTGAGTACCCTGTGCAAGGCCTGGGACAAAAAAGTCAACAAGCATTTCATGAAGGAGTGAAAGGGGAAGGCAGTCCACACTTTGGGGAGTTGTGAGGTGAAATGGGAAGGAGATCAGGAAAGGCTTTATAGAAACAGTGGCTTCTAAAAGGAACCTGGGATGGCTAGGATTTGAAGCAAGAGAGGGTGAGCTTTGCAAGTGCAGTAGGAATGACACAGACAGAAACAAGATGAAGTCTTCCACCTCCTAGATCTTCTGGGCTCATCCCCACACCTTTTTCATCTCTGCTTTTTTTTTTTTGCTTTTATTAAGAAGGCCTTTTCTGGGACATGACTGGATGGCTCAGTCAGTTGGGCATCCAACTCTTGATTTTGGCTGGGGTCATAGTCTTGGGGTCATGAGATTTGAGCCCCTCATCGGGCTCTGTGCTGGGCATGGGGTCTGCTTGTGATCCTCTCTCTACCTTTCTCTCTGCCCCTCCCCCCCCCGCCCTTGGCCCAAAGGCCTTTCCTAACTATCTTGTATAAAGAACTGTGAAAATATTTCATCATTTACCATCTCCTTAATTCTTTGGCCCTTTTATCATCTGATCTACTTTTTGTTTCTTTGTTTTGTACCCAGATAAGAATATAAGTTCTAATAAGGTAGGGGTATTGTGTTTCTCATTACTTTATCCCCAACACCTAGGACAGTTTTGAGTGTACAGTAGGTACTTAATAAATATTTGCTGAATGAATGAATGACCCCGTGTGTGTGCTAGGAACCATAGTTCTCTTGTTTATCTTTTAATAAGGTTTACAGTAGGGCGTGTGAAATGTTTTGAAAAGAAGAAACCCGTACTGGGATTGTTCTGTTGGAACGTACCTCTCTGAGGTCTGAAGAACCGTGGTGTGGGTACTCACGACAGGAAGCTGCAGGAATGGGGCTTTTAGAGGAAAGAGATTTTAGAGATGTGTATGGGGGGTGGGGGAGTGTGCATGTACAGGGCAACGCTAGAAATAGTGGGGAACTTATCCCTCATTTATTTGAAGTGAATTGTTTGTCTTGAAAAAAATGTGTGAATGTTTATGCCAGGACTATATGGTGCTAACCTGATCTGCTCTTTTCATGACAGGAGGCTGAACAGCACCCAGGGGGAAATTCGTGTTGGTCCTAGCCATCAGGTAAAGCAAATTTTAGTAGCTTCTCCAATAGGGTTTTATTTCTTATTATTCTGCTGGCCCTTTATTCTGTTAAGCAGCAATTTAGAATCATTGTTATGTTTTAGGGAATTTTATATAAATGCAGGGTTCTTTTTCCCCTGATCACTGCATACTTTTTAAAAATTAAAACTTTTAAAAATGTAAAATTTACCATTCTGAACAATTCTAGGTGTACAGCTCAGTGGTTTTAGGTACATTCGCATTGTTGTGCAACCATCACTGCCATCCACCTCCAGAACTTTTTTATCTTCCCAGACTGAAACTCTGTCCCCGTTAAACACTAACTCCCCATTTCCTCTCCCCACGCCCATGGCAACCCCTCTTCTACTTTGTCTCTGTATATCTGACTCCTCTAGGTTTTTCGTATCAGTGGAATTGCACAGTATTTGTCCTTCCATCTGGCTTATTTTACTTAACATAAAACCGTCAGGGTGCCGCCATGTTGTATCACATACCAACTTTAATTTCTTTTTAAGGCTGCCACATTTCATGTACACATTCATTCATTTATGGACATTTGGTCACTACATACTTGAATTGTAAGTTTTAAAAAACCCCTGCCCTTCAGAAGAGGTGGGATGCTTAGGCTCCTTGTCGGTCAGCAGCTTGTTGTGTTGTGACCTGTGTCCTCTCATGCTTTATTCAGTTTACTAAGACTCTTAGTGCCCTCTTTGCCCCACCCCCCCATATCTCTGCATCAGGATACTTTGACAGGCAGGACTAGAAAACTCTGGCTGCCTGTGGCTGTTTATGATCTCATGTACCATCACATCCTGGTCAGACAGGACCAGGGCTCTGCTCAGCTTCTGTACAGTTCTCTTGGTGCCTAGCTGTCCCCCCACGGCTGCCTTCTTTTTTAGGTGGTAGCTGAATTTTACTGATTCTAAGATGTACTTCTTTCCTTCACATTTTATTATCTCTGACATCAGACTTCATTGTACATTCTGTAGTGTGATTATAATTTAATTGGCAGCATTTCTCCTTTCTAAATGCACTAAAATATTAGTGGATCTTACCTTGAATGAATTATAGCAGATGTTGAGAGCAGGAAAAGGGATCATCCTTCTTTTCCCCTTAAGAGCAAGGAACAGTCTTCCAGAAGGTCTCTAGTAGTCTCTATATGTCATTGCCATGGATCGAGTCACTGTCCATTTTTAAACTGTGAGGAAAGTGGGTTTAGTGTGATTGGCATGGGCTATCATTTGAGTGAGCCATATGGCCATCACATAGTACAGATGTGAGACACAGACAACTGTTCGTAAGGATATTGAGGTTTTAGTAGTCTGTTTAGTTCATTTTTCTGTCTGGATTTTGAGCATTCCTTGTATGCCATTCATATTTTTAAGAACCTGTTTTAACTCTGTGATAAGAAAGAAATTAAGAAGTGAAGGAATATTAAAACCAAAATGTAGGAACCATCAGGGGCATCTAATTTCTAGAAGGCACGTCTCATCTCAGGACTAGGATTATAACTGAGACAGACAAAAAGAAGCTGCAAGAAGACATCCTCTTTAATGCCTGCCTTGTTCAAGTATACCCTTGCCTTGGTGTGGCCTAGTAGGTGGGTCTGACTACCACCAACTATATATTCTGTGTCTTCAGGCCTAGCAGTTACAGTTTAATCAGGGAATCCAGTACTGACCTGGTACCACTGGACTACCTGTCCCTCTCTCTGCTCTCTTGCCACTGTATTTTCCCACCCATTTTTCCTTCCTCTTTGTGTCTTGAGATCTTTGTACTAAAGTTTATTTTACTGATTTTTTTTTCCTTGCCATAATAGAAAAAGTGGTGGGTTTTTTGTTTTTTTTTGTTTGTTTGTTTAGAATTCTCACTTCCCTTTAATCACTGAATTTCAGTTTTTACGAATAATCTTAGGACAATTCAGGTAACTAAGGTTTGGGGAGGGAAAACAGTTCTCGTATACATGAAGAACTAGACATGCTCAGTTGTTCTGTAAATAACTCTGTTGGCTTCGATTAACGAACATTTTCACAGAAACAAATTTTTTAAAGCCAAAGATCACTGCATTTATATTTACAAAAAAGCCATAAACAAATATCCACTTACCCTTTACTGGGAGAACTTAAATCAATGTTTGAACATTAAGGCAGTGACGATTCTAAAACAATGAAATTCTAAGTTAAGGCTTTATGTTTGTTTTGAAACCCATAGTCATAGGCCACTGTGACCAAGAAAAAGTGGTTCTTAAGTAAAAGATGCTTAAATTCTTGGAAAGGAACAGGTTTAGTATGCTTACATTCTTGTATACTTACATTTATTTTATATCAGATTCTAAATATATTCATTAGGCTTTATTTTAAAAAAGAAATGTTTTGGAGCACCAAATGTAACAGGACTTTTTTATGGATTGGCAATATTTTCCTTATTAAAATTTTAATTTTTTTTATTTGGTGCAATATTACATTTGTAAAAATCAAGAAAGAATAGTAAAATAAATCCCCTTACCCTTATTAGTCAGCTTTCACACATATCAGGTTACGGTCAAACTTGTTTCATTTACTCTCCTTCACACCTCTCCAACCATTATTTTGAAATAAATCACAAATCTATCATTTATTTGTTAATATCCCAAAGATAGAGCTCTTTCAGAAAACAAAGTCACAATATGTAATACCTAATAAAAATTAGCAATTTCTTAAGTACCCCTTGGTCCAGATTTCCCTAAATACCTCTTTTTTTTTTTTTTATAGTTCAGATTGGAATTTAAATAGGAGCCATGCATTGCAATTGGTTAATAGGTCTCTTAAATCTCTTTTAATTCATATATTGTTCTCATTTTTTCCCCTTCTCTCAATATATGTATTGAAGAAGGTGAGTGTTTTGTCCATTAGGGTGTCCCATAGTCTGGATTTGGCTGATTTCATCTTTATGTGTGATTAGACTTGTTCCCTTGTCCTTGGCATATCTTGAAAATTAGTAGTTAAATCTAGAAGTTTAATATCATCCTAGTTCAGTCCTCTGCGCCTGGCATGGGTGGTGCTGTGTAGTCGACCAGGAAGTATGTGTGTCCTTGTAATGCTGATTTGCAGCCATGGCTTATTACTTAGAACCACCCTTTGAAATGGTGATACTCTGTCATTCCTTCATTTATTAGGTGAATAAAGGAAGCTTTCCCTTTACCACCAACTATTTGATTATCAGAAGCACAGAGGAAAGGCAAGATAAATGCTCAATTCCTTCCTTCTGTTCACCAGTTTTCAAAAATAATAGGTTGGTTTCCCAGCATCTTCAGCAGTCACCAGTGGATTTTAAATTATTTGTTATCTGCTAACCAGTTGAACTTATTCTTACTGATGATTTTTTTTTTTAAAGATTTTATTTATTTATTTGAGAGAGAGCACACAAGAGGGGGGAGGGTAGAGGGAGAAGCAGACCCCCTGCTGAGCAAGGAGGCCGACTTGGGACTCGATCCCGGGACTCCAGGATCATGACCCGAGCCGAAGGCAGTCGCTTAACCAACTGAGCCACCCAGGCGCCCTCTTACTGATGATTAAATTATCCTTTTGGGACTGGTAGGATGCCTCTTCCTGCCATCTTCTGTGTCCTTTTGACTAGACGGACCCCAGGGATTTTTGGTAGGGTTCTTTTAACTGGTATGACATGATTTTAATGTTTCATCTTGTATATTCCCTGCCGTTGATCTAGAATTAAACTTTTCTCATAGGAGCCCTTATTGTTTTATTGGGAAGTGACATTTTTTGACTGGGTGCTGGGTGTTCATTGTTACTAGGTTGGTTACTATTCCTAGGCCTTTTCAGGGAACAGGTTAGGAAATATGGGCCTCCCCCCTTTTTTTGAAGATAAAATATATTGCAGATTCTTTCTAATTCCAATTCAAATTTTTATCTGGGTTTTATATTTAATCCTATCTTTCTTTCCTTTTGTATCTGTATCTTTTCCCCATGTCTCAAATCCCATTTTCAGATGACTCCAATGTAATTATTCATTTGCTTTAATCCCATAATACATATATAATAGTGCAGAATAATAGTACTTAACACTGCTACAAATAATATGGATATTGAAAACCGCTTACTATTAAAATTTTTTTTTGTTGTTCTTAGAATATATCCCACTAGGGCTTTATAGGCAAATTAATATGTGTTTTAAAATTAGTTGAAATAATTCCTAGAGAGGAACCAACTCACTATATAGTTAGTGCATTTATTTCCCTTTGCTTTAGGGTTTTTAAGAGATTGTTGTTCTTTAAATTTCATTTTGTTTTTATAGTTACATAAAGTTATTCACATAACTCTAAAGTCAAACATACAAAGGAAGAAGTGTGCTCAAAGAAGTCTGCTATCTCTGTCCCTTCCACATTTTCCTTCTCTCCCTGATGGATAATTGTTGTTTTGATTTATCCTTATTTTTATTCCCCAACCCTCTGTTCTTAGATAAGTGGTAGCGTGATACACACATTTTACCGACTTCCGTTTATCTTTTAACAATGTATCCTGCTGTTCCCTCTGTAGCAGTGTGTAGAGTGACTCCTCATTTCCTTCTCCCATTTCATGGAACTCCACTGCGGGGATGGAATAGTTCGTTCTTCCAGTTCCTATTGTTGGGCATTTAAGTTGCTTCCAGTTATGTGCTATTACAGGTAATGCTGTAGTGAATGGCCTGAGCATACAGATTTTTATATTTTTGCCAACGTATCTTTGAAATATATTCCCAGAAGGGGGATGCCTGGCTTAAAGGGCAGGTGCACATGGAAATGTGAGGACATTACAAAATGCCCCTCTGTAGCCATCGTACCATTTTTGCCTTTGTGCTAGCAGCTCACTCAAGTGCTAATACAATAAGAGTCTTGTATATTGTCACACTTCGGGATTTATGTCATTCTGACAGATGAGAAATTGTATTTCAGTGTCATTGATTTGCCTTTTTCTTATCAGCAAGTTTGACCATGTTTTCCTATCATTAAGAGCCATTTGCGTTTCTTTTTCTATAAACTATCTAACTATATTTCCAGCTTATTTTTCTCTTGACCGGGGAGGATTTGTCCTCTACCACAATAATAGTACTTTTTAACTATTTTAACGAACAGCCATTGGAGAGCTACTATACCAGGTACTGTACTTGGTGCTGGGGAAGCAGAACCCAGTACAAAGGTCAAAAAAGGCCTTTTGATGCCAATACCTCTTGTGTTTTAAATTTTATTCCAATATGGTTACTATGTCTTAAGCAGACCTCGGTTCTGCTTAATTGAGGCACCCAGTTAAATGTTATAAAAGTCAATACTAAATTAAAGAAGAGCATCCTTGTTTGGAGAAAGTCAGTGCTTGGTACACATTTAGAGGTATCAGAGATCTCCTGTGAGGCAGACTGGGAGCCCTAAGACCCCATGGTCTGCTAATGTTTTGTTTTGCCACAAGATTGTTTTAAAAAGTCAAAATTTCTGGACTTCGGAAAAAAATCAGGGGACATACAAGTACTGCTTCTCATTCCTGCTTGGTTGCTTTTCCTGGACAGGGCAGCACTCTCTCCATTACACCCTGGTTCCCTTCACTCTTTAGCACCTGATACCTCTGTGCCCAGGACAGGAGCCACTGCCTGCGAGTGGCTGTGAGCACTTGAAGTGCGGCTAGGCCAGACTGGGAGGTAGTGTTTTACTTCCTGCGATTACTAGAGTGTTTAAAATGAAATATGTAGCTCTCATTTTATTTCTGTTGGACAGTGCTGCCTTATCCTCTCCTTGCTTCGTTTAATTTTTTTTGCCTGGTTTCTGTGGACACTGGAGCTTTTTAACTGTAGCTCTTAGTTTAAAATATTTGACAGATGTGTCTGTGTTCATCATCTGAGACAATAGGAACATGTGTGTTTTGCAGATGCTTGGCTTTATAGGCCCCTGATGGTTGTGGTAGTCGTAGTACATGCTTGACTCTTGCTCTGCCCCGCAGAGTAAGGATGGGAACATGCCAGGGGTATTTGGATCTCTAACCCAGAGGTGACTTAGAATCTTGGTTGTTGAGCACTGTCGTTCAAATGTTTTTTAAAAAGTTTATTGAGGTGTACTTGATATACAGTGAACTTGTTCATATCTTAATGTACACTGTTGGGTCTGCTGTAACAGTTCATATCAAGGTGCAGCATTTCTCTTGTCTCTGAAACTCCTTCCTGTCCCTTCACAAGCAGTCTACTCCTCCTGAAGCTACTGCTGATCTGATTTCTGATGCCATCATTTAGTTCAACTGTGTTTTTAATGTTAACTCCAATCCTGTGTCTTTTTTTTATGTTTACCTTGATAGTACTGTAGTTATTGACTCTCTTGAGAGTAGCTTAACTTAATAGGATAGCTCGTTTGGTATTTTAGCAAATATCCTTAGGTGAGGTTTCATTATTTATATCTGTCTCTTTGTAAACTTGTTATATTGGAAATGTGTGTGTTTTTCCCTTCTTTATCAAGGAACTGTTCTGTCCTGAGGGGTTCCCCCCCCTAATTTCTTTTATTCACATGCATCCATTTTTGTTTTACTCTTTGGATCATGCTGGCACTGGTTTATTTTGACACTGTTTGCTGCTCCTTAAGTAGAGATTAAGCAGTCCATTGTGAAATCTTCTATGGTGAAATGATCCTGAAATGTGCTACAGGCTGGTTTCAGTGACTCACAGTTGTTTCTGTTATTTCGGTCCTGCCTGAAGAAAGAGGCTCAGTAACTAGTGCGTCTGTTCCCGGGGCCTTCCTGTTGAGGCAGCTCTTTAAATGCTCCTTGATTGTGACTTTTTCATCCCTGTCTTACAGGCCAAACTTCCTGAATTGCAACCGTTCCCTTCTCCAGATGGCGACACTGTGACCCAACATGAGGAACTGGTCTGGATGCCTGGAGTTAATGACTGTGACCTCCTTATGTACTTGAGGGCAGCAAGGTAATAGGAATTCTCCCCATTCTGCCCTCTGAATTAGGCCATCTGAATTGATTAGGAGGCAGTAAACTTTCTCCTTTCCCCTGAAATTTTATTTATACATTGAACATTCTCTCACTTTATGTTTTCTTATACCCTCTGTAATCAGAGCTCTGAGTTTTCATGTCAGAGAAAAAGTTTACCATGGTAAAGTCACTTTTTTCTTTTTTCCTCAATCTTTGCCCCACATCACATTTTAGAACTCTGCAGAAGGGAAATATCTTAAGCCATACATGCAATTATCAACACTTCTAAATACAAGTTGAGTGATTGGGTCATTTAGCCCGTTTTAAAATCCCATTACAGATTTCTCTACTTTAGGCTGTTCCTTGATGCCTGACCCAAGCTTGGTGTTTTTGTGGCTTACCTACATGAGAACTTGTTAACCTACAAATGCCTAAAATATAAAAGATAAGTTTAAATCTGTCCCTGCTCATCACAGTGCAGGCAAAGAGCCTTCCTTCGTCTGCAGTGGTCTCTGGGACTCACCGCAATGTCAGCAGCGTGCACCATGGCAGGCCCCGGTAACTGAACTTTAATCCTGCGGTCAACTACGCTGTGTGTGAGGTACACAGCAGAGACGAGGCCACCTCAGTGCAGTGCATGCGTGGCCACTAAGAATTCTTTTCATCCCCTTTCCCGCTTTTAACTCACCTGAGGTTAGTTGATGTATAGCATGAAAGGAATTAAACAAAGTTTCAGAGGATTTAATTATTTTCAAAAGATCTTTCTTTCAAAAAGATTATAATCTTTCTTTCAAAAGACTGTACTCTAGCCAACTGTCGTGGCACATTGTTTTAGCTTATTCATGCCCTCAAAACTAAAAGCTGAGTACAGGTAAAGCATGGGAAGAAATAACACAACTGGACTGGAGTAAGTGAAACATTTTCCTTTGTGATTGAGTGAAGGGTGAACTGTAGAGGATCTTAAATTTTTTTTTTTTTTTTGAGAGAGAGAGAGAGAAAGAGAATCTTAAGCAGGCTCCACACCCAGCTCTCATGACCCTGAGATCATGACCTGAGCCAAAATCAAGAGTCAGATGCTTAGGGTGGCTCAATTGGTTAAGCGTCTGCCTTCGGCTCAGGTCATGATCCCAGGGTCCTGGGATCGAGTTCTGCATCGGGCTCCTTGCTCAGGGAGGGGAGCCTGCTTCTCCCTCTGCCTGCCACTCCCCCTGCTTGTTCTCTCTGACAAATAAATAAGTAAAATCTTAAGGGAAAAAAAAAAAAAGTCAGATGCTTAACTGACTGAGCCACGCAGGTACTCCTAAAAAATTTTTTTTAAGATTTTATTTATTTCTTTGAGAGAGAGCGTGCATGAGTGTGCAAGTGAGGGGAGGGGCAGAGGGGGAGAGAGAGAATCTCAAGCAGACATCGTGCTCGGTGTGGAGCCTGTGCTCAGTCTCAAGACCCTGAGATCATGACCTGAGCTGAAACCAAGGGTCGGCTGCTTAACCAACTGAGCCACCCAGGTTCCCCTAAAAAAAGTTGTTTTTTGTTTGTTTGTTTGTTTTAAGAAAAGTAGAAACAGGACTGAGGACTCTGGCTTATCATGCATATAGTAATGGAGTTTGGTTTGGGCTGAGAATGTACTCTGGAAACCGAGGGTTAACATAATTCTTTGCTGATGTTTCCCCTTTCTGTCCTCCAAGGAGCATGGCAGCATTCGCAGGGATGTGTGATGGAGGTTCCACAGAAGATGGCTGTGTTGCAGCATCTCGGGATGACACTACCCTCAATGCACTGAATACAGTGAGTCTTTTGAAGTTGCCCTGGGTGGGAACAAAATTCTCTTTCCCTTGTGCTAGCTGTAGGGAGTACGCGATGAGTATGGAACATGAAGGAGCCTGGAATCTTAGGAGTGAGTACTGTGGTATAGTGCTGGGATTGGAAGATGGGCTGTGGTCTTGGCTTTGGGCCCCCCAACCTTGATCCAGTGATGTGGCGCCTCTAGGTTCATTTCTTCATCTGTGTCTGTACCTCAGGATTGTGTTGAGCCTCAAATGAGAGCCTGATGATATTGGTTGATCTTCACCAAGGTCCCACAAAGCCGACCACTGTTAACAGATGATCTTATTTAATCCTCACAATGTCCCTCTGCAGTAGGTTTTATTATTATCATCATTGTAGATGTGAGGAAATAAGTTTGGAGCGATTAAGTCACAAGCCAAGGTCATACACTCAAGATGTGAATCTGGAGTCCATACCTTTTGCCTTCTTCTCTGTCTCTGAGACTGTGAATTTGAAAGTGTGTGGAGGAATAGAGAAGAAGCCAGACTTCCTGGAACAAATTAGTTTTTTTATAGATGTGGCTTTGGAGCCATGTAAATATTTCACATGATTATACAACAAAATTGAGTTTTAAAAATAATAATCCTTAAAAAAACATAAAGTAAAATGTAACAAGTGAGCCTAACAGTACTGAGTTGGTTGTATGGCATCCTTCAGGATTACTCATCTGCTCTAATCCTGTAACACACACAGCAGCTCAGAAGAACAAAACTCAAATTGCTATAAAATAGTGTCATCACTGAAACCAGTTTACTTTTTTTGGACATTCCTTTTTGACATTAAAATACATCCTATAGGGCTGTGTAGGAAATTAATGTATTCTAAAGTTTCTTGAAATAATTCTTCTCTTTGTGATTACTAATGTGAAACCATCAAATCTGATGAAGTAATAATGGGTTTTTTATGCATTACTGATGTACTAATAAAGTTATATATATTTACATAGGATACTGAGCACAAGGCTAAGCAACTCCTAATGACTAACTAAATGTAATTTAAGCACCCTTTTTGTTTTTCATTTTTCTTGAGAGGTCACTGTAGTTGGAAGGGACTTTTGAGATCATCTGTTCAGTCTCTAAATAGATAATAATCTAAGGCTCAGAAAGGCCAAATGATTGTTGAATGCCAGCAATCCAAAAAGTTCATGATGGAGGATAGAAAATAACCCAGATTCCCAACTTAGGGACTTTGCTACTCTCCACCTTGCTTTCAAGGAGGCATGTGGATATGGCTGATTTGCATTCCTGGTCTAGTTGTGTTTCCTGAGCATTATGTATGACATGATAATAGTCTCTTATGTGTTAGGGATTGAGTGATCTTGCTGGGATTGGGCCGTGTGCTAAATAACTGGATGATTTTTTACATTCCCATACATTTATTTCTTTTACTTTCTCGCCTCTTCCATACTTAAGAGTTTTTGTTTTTATAAAGGGTCTTTATTCTGAGTATACATTACTGAGCCAGAAGGGGCCTGTGAGAGTATTTTATTGATGAAGAATCAGAGACTCAGATCGGTGAATCTGTAGACAGTGGGAATGGTAAGAGTGGTGTGAATGTCTGTGAATTCAAAATACCCTAAAAAGTGTGTGTTTATTCAGAGTAACTCTTTGATATGGGCTTGTCTTCTGTGGAGTTTTTTGCATAAAAGCTTTATAAAAAAATTTCCACTTTCACAATCATGCTGATCAGTTGAATTTTTAAATAATAAAGATGTTGCCATATTTAATTAAATATCTATTTTTGGCACTTTACTGAATTGATCTGATTTATTCTCTTTATTTCAACCCCTCTAAGGATTCTGTAGAACATACTTCTATACAGAAATAATTTGGGCTATTTTTGCCCATGGTCCTTTGCAGCAAGTTCCTTCTGAAGTTTTCTTAAGCATTGCCAGAGGGCTTTTGGTTTTATGAGTTTTTATTTCTGTGAAGCTGCCTTCCCATCATTTGAAATTTTCCTGTCTAGGCGTGTCCAAAATGGCTCAAGTGTCTTGGTTTATGCAGTCCAAGTGCGTTCAGCCACCAAAGGACTGAGTTATGTGTACATTTTGTGATGAATGGAAAAGTTTAGTGACTGTTTTAATTTTTCTACTTCATTGTTTTACTGGCTTACAGAGTTTGAGTTGTAGGTACTTTCTTTAATGAAAAGTGAAGTGAATTGAAAAATCTTATAAGAAGTTAATGTTTATTTCAGCTTCCTTGGAGTAATGGTGGTTTCGAGCTGTGTTAAGTAATAAGTTTAAAAGATAAATACATTGTCATGTGAGAACTGTTTTTTTTCTTAGAGTCAAAACAAGGTTTTAGGCATTTCTCAGTTTATAGTAAACCTGTGTCTATTTCCTGTTTCTCAGGACAGTACAGAAATTTAAAGTGTATGAAATTCTACAGTACAGCCACATTATAGTGTTAACAATCTGAGTAGGACTATTTAAATTTAAATGCATTTAAATAAATAATTTGATCTTTAAAACTGCCATCTTGAATAGAAATTTTTGAGCTGTTAATTCTTAATACCTATTTTTAAATAAAAGCTCTTCTACATTACTCGTTTTGACTCAATTTTTTCTTCATTATTCACAAATGAGATTTTTAGTGTGTAAGTTTTAAAACAACATATGGAGTATAATTTATGTATAATAAGCTGCTCTGATTTAAAGTATATACAGTTTGATGGGTTTTTTTCAGATGTATATACCAGTGAAACTACTACAGTGATGAAAATACAAAATATTTCCAAATTCCCCACAGTTTCCTCATGAACTTTTATAATCCTTTGCTGCTTCTAGCCTCAGACAACCATTGATATGTTTTCTCACATCATGGATTGGTTTGCATTTTCTAGAATGTTGTATGAATGGAATATCTTATGTAATCTTTTGGGTCTGGCTTTTTTCACTGTAATAATTTTGGGATAGATTTCTGCTGTTGCATTATCAGTAGTCCTTTTTTAATGCTGAGTAATATTCTTGTGTATGGATATTCACAGTATTTTATCCATTCACCGGGTGATGGACACTTGTGTTGTTTCCAGGCTTTTGGCAATTATAATAAAGGTGTTATGAACATTGTTACTCAGTCTTTGTGTAGATGTGTATTATCATTGCTCTTGGGTGAATACACCTAAGGAGTGAAATGGCAGGATTGTATGTATGCAGGTCACTTTTTAAGAAACTGTCAAACACGGTTCCAAGTGGCCATACCATTTTAGATTCCCATCGGTAGTATGTTAGAATTTCAATTCTTCAGCATCCTCAACAAGACTTCATGTTGTCAGTCTTTTTCATTTTAGTGATTCTAATGGGTGTGTAGTGATATTCCATTGAGATTTGTTTGTTGGTAAAGATTCCTCAGCATTTGACATTACTGATGATGTCTATCTGTGTCTCATTCAGTGAGGTTTTAATTTGAATTCCCTGACTGTCATATTGAGCATCTTTTCATGTCTTACTGCCCATTTGTATGTCTTCTTTTGTGAAATATCTTTTGCCCAATTTTAAAAATTGAATTGTTTTTAGTATAATTATTTAGTTGTAGGAGTTGTTTTTATATTGCAGATACAATTTCTTTGATACATGTATTTACAAATATTTCCTCCCATACCATGACTGTTTTTCTGTAATGGTGTCTTTTAGAGAGCAAGATGTTTAGTTTTCCTAAAGTCCAGTGTATCATTTTCCTTTTGTGAGAGTTTCTTTGATCACCCCATGATAACATAGGTTGTTTCTGTGCTTTCTTGATGTTTTAGTTCTTGCCTTCAGGTCTGTGATTCTTTTCAAATTAATTTTGTATGTGATGTGAGATATGGGTGAAAGTTCATTCTTTCCTACGCAAGTGCCAGTTGTTGGAGCAACATTTACTGAAAACAGACTTTTCTCATTTCGTTGCCTTGATGCCTTTATTGAACATCAACTGCCATATAAGCATATAGCAGTTTGAGTCTTTTTCTGGATTCTCTTCTGTTTCACTAATGTAATATCTGTCTTTTCACCAGTACCTCAGGATTTTGAGTATCGTAGCTTTGTTGTTGTTTTTGAGAGAGAGCGAGCGAGCACAAGAGCGCATGGCTGTGCTGGCCACTGGTGGGAGGGGCTGGGAGAGGGGCTAAGGGAGAGGGAGAACGACAAGCAGGCTCCCCGCCAGGCTCCATCTCTCAACCCTGAGATCATGATCTGAGCCAAAATCAGGAGTCTGATGCTCAATCAGCTGAGCCACCCAGGTGCCCCTTGAATACTGTAACTTTATTGGAACTCAGGTAGTGTAAGTCTTCCTACTTTTTACTAGTTTTTTAAGATTGTTTTGGTTATTTTAGGTCATTTGCATTTCCATATAAATTTTAGAATCAGCTTGCTGTTTCTGTTTTTAAAAAGGCTTGATGGTATTTTCATTGGGATTGCATTGAGTCTATGGATCAAGTTAGGAAGAATTGATTGACATCTTAACAATATTGAATCCAGAACATGATACATATCTTCATTTTTAAAAAATTTTTTATTTAAGTAATCTCAGGGCACCTGGGTGGCTTAGTTAAGTGTTTGACTCTTGATTTCCGCTCAGGTCTCAGGGTCATGAAATCGAGTCCTGCTGTTGGGCTCTGTGCTGGGTGTGGAGCTTGCTTAAGATTCTCTCTCTGCCTCTTTCTCTGCATACCCTGCCCCCTCTTTCCCTTTCTTTAAAAAAACAAAAAAAAACAAACTCTACATCCAGTGGGGGCTCAAATTCACAACCCCAGGATCAAGAGTTGTACCATCTACCGACTGAGCCCACCAGGCACCCCGCATACCTTCATTTTTAAAAGAGGTCTCACTAATTTTTTTTAAGTAAGATTTTATAGTTTTCAATGTACAGGTCGTACACATATTTTGTTAAATTTATCCCTAAATAATTACTGTTTGAAATTTCGATAGTTAATAAAATTATATTTTTATTTTTGTTTTTTTAAAGATTTTATTTATTTATTCATGA